TGTTAACTAACAGTGCACAGTGCTTTTCCATGGTTTTTGTAAGAGGCGGCCAGCGTAGGTTCTCGAGTATTGTTTCCGTGGCTATGTCAGGTTTAAAATTTTGTGCAGATACTTTGAAAACAGTTTTCTCGAATGAGAAAAAATTTCTTCAAGAAAGATCTTCCGGCACTCCCTCCATACAAATGTTTTCATGTTTATATTATAATAAGTAATCATACAGTTTTTCTTGTTCAATTTGGAATTAATTTGCACTTGTGAGTTTTTCAAAAAGCTGAAATTGCAAACACTGAAGCAGCTCGTGCAATTTCAGCTTTTTGAAAAATTCACTTGTACAAATTAATTCCAAATTGAACTCAAAACCATATGATCACCTGTATACTTATTAGTTTTCTAGTACGTCAAGCTGGACGGCAAACACTCCTCTGGCATTTCCTGGCAACATGAATAAATTAAGGCTGAAAAACTAGATGCAGCTTTTTCTACAAGCTAACTTACGAGTAACCTTGAGAAGAACCTCCCTCTTGAGCACTGGCTGATAATGCCCTGGTTGTTGGATCCTGTGAAACAAAGACAAACTAACTGACTGACTCTGACTATATTTACTACTAACAAGCGATGTCTTCTATTTCTTGGCATTTATTACATCCCTTTTGATATCACTGGTTATTCTTGAAATCTGATTGGCTGTCAGCAGAGTAATTTATTCTCAAATCACACTATTTTTTGCTCTAAATTGTAACTTTTTCCTGGCCAGTGAAGATGGAGTACTAATTAAAACAAAACAACCAATCAGGTTTCAAGGCTTTTTCAAATTAACCAATCACACTGCATGGAAATGAAAGACAAAAAAGCCATTGTTTGGCAAATTTAGGTACTGACCAAAATCTTGTAGTCTTGTATTTCAGCTACTAAATTGTGGGATTTCAAAACAGATGCAATTAAGTGGCAATTGAACTGAGTGGAGTGTAATTTTGTCTGAAACCATACTAAGTGATTTCAAATCAAACTCGCCCTGTATGCTCTTTCTATTTTTGAAATCACGCGTATGATTTCAGACCAAATTGCACTCCACTCAGTTCGATTACCGTTATAAATCTATCTTTTAGAACCTTTTAAATACAGATAAAGTAATGTAAGCAGACCTTGCATTTATTTCGAAACAAATTTGATCTTGTCACTATTCAACTGCAGAGTCAATAGATGCTTACAATCAAAGACTTGTATTCTTGTATCATGTCCAAATCCTCCTGATCAAGCCTCAGAGCATAGTCCTGTACACCCTGAACCCAGTACTTATGAACAGCCGCACATCCACCAAGACCAATCTCATGTAGGGCATATTCCATTGCATCCTGCATGAAGGAGATAAGCATATATCCTTGAAAGTCTGGTTTGGGGTGGTTTGAGTGTTAAAACTAATTCACAGTTGCTTTGCATTACAGGGCTATGCGATTGGCTTCACAAACTCATGCCACTCTGTCATCTAATCAGAAGTAAAACAACAACCAATAGTGTCTCACTTGCTCACATTTTCCTGCACATCTAGTCCACTACATGTATTTGCTGAGAGTTTTGATTAGTTCAATAGCTGTCTGCATCCTTTGTGATTGGCCAGAGTGATTGCTTTGGTTTCAGTTTTACAACACTCAATAATTTTGAAAACTGTTCTATGACCTTTAATAACTAGACAGTAAATTGCTACTGGGCAAGCACTAAACAACACTGGCTTTTAAACAATCGTAATCGCAAGTAATAAATATGCTTGCTTTGGGTTAAGTTCTACTTGTCTGATAAAAAAAAAGTCACACAGCCTGCTCTTTAACTCATTCACAGTCAACATGAGGCTGTTTTCACCAAACAGGTCTGAATCAATGTATTGTACAGTGGTGTAGGTTGTTCCTATGAACTCTGTGATAACGGTGCAGTGCTCTACCATCTGAGCCATCAAGCCATTCAGGAGCAGTCACACATTTTTTAACATTCTTTTTTTTTTCAGTTCTGATTGGATTGTTGGATTCTCTGTAACAGTTGCGATTGGCTAAAGTGATAATTTAATTTTGATTTTAACAGAGAGGGTTTCCAAGCATGATTGTGTAGAACCTATCTTTCTTACAGGAAAACCTGTCCTCCCATTCAGTGCAGCATTATCCACGCCTATTCTCAAAAGACGACAAAGCTTAGTGTTGAAGTCGTCAAGAATGTCTGTTAGTATTTCCAGGGAAGATTCACTAGCCACTGAAAAACAAGACAGCTACCTGTTAACATAATCAATAATACCAGCAACTTGTTGGAAATAAAATAAAGCTCCCACTTGTCTGATACCTTAACTCACTCAATTTAGAACAAAACACACATAATTCACACTTTATTGAACCTCCTCAGTAGGCCTTTTTCTAGGACAGATAAAAAGATATACAAAGAACATTTTCTATGGTTTTGTATTTAATTCAGCTACTACCCTACTCAAACTATGTGTGATTCTTATCTGTTAAAAGCCTCTTCAGCCCAATAGCAAGAAGCGGCAAGCAGTACTGCTACTACCACCTAGCTGATCTGATGCTACCCAATGCAGGTTACTCCCCAGTGTTCTGTTAGGTTGCCCCAACAATTAATTCACCGGTATCCATTTGTACTCCCGGGTGGAGAGAGGCACTGTAAGAGTTAAGTGTCATGCACAAGAACATAACACTTTTAACCCAGCCAGGGCTCAAACCTAGACCACTTGATCCAGAGTCTAGAGCACTAACCATTAGGGCACCATGCCTCTGCTGTTAGCTTAATAAGTGTTTTAAAAAAAAATGAAAACTGACAGAAAAATGTTTTAGAAAACTCACTATCAAATCCTGCCATTGCACATAAGGTAGCTACAGACCTCATCAACAAATGTCTGTTGGAGGCACTGTCTAGCTCAGCACATGTTAACTTGGCTTGGGATCCATGAGCACTACAACAGACATGGTGTAAAATATTGAAATTAAGATAATTTAATTAATCACCCAATGTATAAAACTGTTTTTTTTTGTCCATGAAAAATATGACTGTGCTTGTGACCCAAAAAAGGACACAAAAACAAGCAAAGTACATGAAAACAAACAGAATACTATGTACAGTGTGACAAAATCTTATAGACTATAGATGTGCTCCTTTCTCTTAAGATGGTCATAGTTAAACCAAAAAATATAGTCGACAAATTATTTTTTGCAGTGATATGTCTCCCTGTCCCTGGGTAAAAGGCCTGTCTGTCTTCTAACAAGAAAATATTCCAGTCATAAGCCAGAGCTTGCATATCAACTTTTATTCTTAAATACTTTTACTTAAATGCTATCACCATACTTTGAGTTTCATGTAGAAATAAAGCAATCAATAAGTTTGCAAGTGGAATACACAACAAAATCAAAACATTTGGTCCCCATGGCTTTCTTAAACTTAAGATATTTCTTAGCAGAGCATGAATAAGTGTGTGAGTGGTCACAAGGCGAGTGTCAAGTGTACCCTATAAGAAATTTAATGGAAAGGAACTTTCCTCTTTTGTTTTTCATTTTCCCTGTTTATATTTAAGCCTCATTACCTGATAGTTTCCTGGGCCCTTGATAGGATAGTGGTCTGTGTTGGGGGTGTCACAACTCCTTTACTGGAGCAGAATCGCTTTGATCTGGGTGGGTGGGCAGGTAGAGAAGATGCTTCAACACCCTCTGATTTCTGACAAAAATAAATCTGTTAGATAGGAGGACGTTTTGACTGATAAAATGAATGCATGAAAGACCTATGGAAGAGAACATTGGACTTTAGTCCCTATGGTATGGACCTCACTGCTCTTGGTCTGTTCTGTCAAGGCCTTAGGCAGATATTCTCCCAGCACAAACCTTGTATTTGTTTAATAAGATATACTGAGTGACTGATATGCTTGGGGTGAATAGTCAAATGATAAATGAAAGGACATTGAATACATCAAATTTACAGGAAAAATACTGGATAAAAGGGTCAATACTAAATAAACTTACCCCTCCTTCTCCATGTTGATGTTGTGCTGCCATCAACATAAGCCGCATGCGTCTTTTGTGATGTTGTAGCTCAATACAGTGTAGTGTTAGGTTCTGTGAGTGTTTGTCAAGTGGGGGCTTAACAGATGCCATAAACTTTGCAGGCAATCTACAATAACCAAATGCCAGTGGTGAATAGATATACATGTACACCTGTTTAATTAAGATTGATTTGGTTGGTAATAATGGCACTAAGTCACGCTTAGCAAAAGACAACCTTAGAGTTTACAAACTTAGGGTCCTCGTTCTTTGGTTTTAAATTGGACTGCTTAAAATTCTACACAAGTATATCAGCTATAACAATAGGGATGACAAGCTTACACAACTCCTATCCACATGTAAAAGCCAGTGTAAAGTTTTGCTTGAATGAGTATATCTTTTAAGGATCTGCCGCTTTTGTATGAGATGCTGGGGACATCTTTGGAAATTTTGCTGAGCAATGATTGATTTTGGATTAAATGCCAGTCTTATCTGAGTATGACAGGCTCTACGCATCATGACATCTGTATGTTTGCTTTTCTTTTTTTTAATTTCCTTCTCACAATCTTTTTTGCTACACATTTGTTTCTGAACGGCAGACACTTTATGTCGTGTCATTAGCAGGACATTTTACAACCACAGAAGAGCCTCTAGAGGTCACAGGTTTCAAATATCGTCATAAGTTTCAAATATTTTGGTTACTTGCACTTTATATCATGATGCCAGGTCTGGCTGTTTGATTATAAAATTGTTGCAAATTAATTACGTTGCTTCTTATCATGGATATTATAGTTATCTTAGTCTGAATTTTCAGAGATAGTTGTAGCTTTCCTTCTAGAAAGCTATAAGTCTGCCTTAGAGAGACATTTTGATGTTTCCTGTATCAATTTTATTAAGCTTTTTTTTCATTCTAGCACCTCAAATTTAGTCTGTTGACTGTTTTTTGTGTTGTATATACTAGTGTTTTTTTGTTTTTCGGCAAAGCGTTGTCTTGAGGGGAGAGGGGAGGGGTGGATCTTCTATCTACGGCCTTTCATCTCTCAGTCTCCTCATCAAGATTATTTTCATCCATATATTACAGTATATTTTAATTCCATTTTCCTCCTTGCTAGATTTATAGCTCAGCTAAGTCTTATTTCTCACACTGCACCACTAAGAATGATACGAACTATCTATTAGGTGTGCATGTAGACTTTTCTTACTTACTCGTCTTTAGGTGGAAAGTGTTCTGAGGAAGGTTGGTGTAATCTTGGTACTTCATATTCTGCTGCTTTCGGTTCTGTTATTTCGATGAGGAGACCTGGTGTTTTGGGCAGTGGAGGGTCAATCTCTCCCCAATGATCAACACAGCCAAAAAGCGCCGCCATCTTGAGTTTTGTTCCCCCAAAAGTACTGGGAAGGACTAGTATTCATGGTGTCATACATGGAGCACTAAAAGTCAAATTGGTGACGCTTGGCGAAGTTCTCGCGTGACAAGCATGCAGAGTAATATTGTTGGCGACGATTCTTTACTATGTGTCTGTTTTTGCCATCAGTGACCTAACATGGACTTCGGGGCAAACGTCAACAATGAAAAGTCCCCACTTCTTCACTCTGGATCCTCAAAACCGATACATTCGGCGTTTTCGAGAAGTCTGTCCCAAGAGGAAGCGATTCTTGGGCTCAGCAGGTCGAGAGAATTGTCCGAAAAATACAGGTTGTATCGGAGAAGATGGTATATGCTGCTTGTGCTGTTTGTCCTAAATGTCTCTAATGCATTGGTGAGTCGAAGAGCAGCAGCTGTGAGAATTCGTTAGTTCCGCTGTTAAATGCAGTCATGTTAACGGACTCAGAGAAATCACCATATCGAGGCGGAAGTGTAGTTAGGGACCTTTATTGAGTGGGATCACGACTTTTTAAACACTTATGCATCCAGTTGTCAAGTTACACATTAAACTCATATTGATAGTCCCCATCTAAATGGTCTAAATGGTAGTTCTGGCAAAGTAGGTTCATTGAACTGGAAAGTTGTTAGCCAAAATTGACTTTACCTGGCAAAGTGAAAACAAAAGTTAGGCGACTCTTCGGTCTAAAGTAAAATTTAGACCAGGCTAGATTGCCTTGCAATCAATCAATCAATCAATCAATCAATCAATCAATCAATCAATCAA